CCCGTTAGGGGGGAGAAAAAAAAAAAAAAAAAAAACATAGTGTGAGGCATAGATGTAAGACCTGATCCGGGTTGGATCTTGTACAAGGTTCAAGTAATGTATTGGGAAGGAGTGGATTTTTTAAATATATATTTTTTAAAATAATTATCACATTTCAAAAACAGCCTCGACAGCGTAAGATGAGTTCCTAACATCTGGAAAATGAACCAACGTGGATACATTAGCCAAGTCGACGCCCCACTTGTACAAGAGGATATCAATAAATATTTCTTTCATTACCTACTCTCATGGTGATGAGAGATCACATGAACAAATTATAAGCCTCCCCGATTTCTTCAAGTAAAAAAAATAAAAAAAAAAAGTAATTTTTTTCTTAAAAAAATAATCGAAAATAAACGGAATCTTTGTTTGAATCGAGGTCTGAATCTTAAATTTTTAAGACTATTTCATTGAATCTTAGTTTATTGAGTAGTTTAACAATTACGGACATGAGTGATGAACGATGTGCAATACACGAGCAAGTAAGAGCGCGTGGGACCAGGATTTAAGTTTTGTCTGGTAAATTTAACCGCTGGACGGAGATTACAACATCCTCATAAATAAATCTGGTTGGTTGACTTTATATTCCCTGTGCTGCAAATAATAGAAAAAAAATGAAAAGACTGACATAATAAAATACAATCATCACATGGTAGATTCTTCTAATCATATCCAATTCATTTCAACTTTATGCTCTGAATCTTTGCTTTGTTGTGTTTCCTTTTAATAATTGTTTCTTACATTATCCAAAACTTGCATTTTTTGGGAAATTGTTTTTGCATTGTTTTGCCCAGCTAATCCATTAACCACCACTTCTATCAAGCCGATGCCTTGTTTTTCCAAATTTTCATTGCCATCTGGTTTCTTTGTCGATTTCGTAAGAACCTTTTTGAATTCTTGCTTTTAGGATGTTTTTCTATTGATTATTTCAAATTCTTTTTACATATTAACATATGCCAACGTGTTTGATGCAGAGAAGAAGCTGATCAAGGCCCTCCTTTTCTTTTCTTTTCTTTTTCGTTGAGATTCCTTTAATATGTAAGAACCCTTTTGATTCCTGTTGTTTTTTTCAATTATTGATTCCTGTGATCTAATCTTGTTTGAATTTTAGCTTTCTTGGATTTAGAATAGTTTATTTTTATGAGCAGTTGATTGCTTATTGATATCCATATCATTTGACACAGAAAAGGGGATTTTCTTTGACAATGATGAGATTATAGCAGCGATTCATGTAATTTCTGTTTCCATTGTTTGGAGGATGGAGATGCCTATCAGTCACAAGAATTCTGAAGGTAATCTACGTGTCCTGTGAAAATCTTGTGCATAAATTTATAGCGAACATGTTTTGTTCTCTTCCACTTTTCTTTCTTTTCGTTAGCATTTTCTATGGTTCATGTTCTTAATGAAAAACGACCGAACATCATCTCAGTTGCTGTCAAATGATTCTAACAAGATATGATTTCAATACTCTTTTGCCATAGGAAAGTAAATGACTTCAGATTTTGATAGAGATGCAATGTTTCTTTGCTTTTATTCAGCTTTTTGCCAATTGCATAGATGGGCTCTCTCTTTTCCCTTGATCGTCTGGTAGAATCAAGCTCATGGTCAACTGGGGTTAGAAATTACAAGCATGCTGTACCACTTACAAGATTTATAGATATAGACATAGTCGATTTATAGTTTGAGTGTTGAGTATTATGTTTTCTTGGTTGCCAGAAAGTAACTGATATCTTTCTTAAGCTCTGTCGAAGTCTGTTCATGATTTTTGTTTTTGTTCTTAACTAATTGTCTCTGTTCACTTCTCTTTGATTCCAATTTTGTATTATGCTTTCATCTGCAGTGCAGACATCTGTAAGTTTATTTCTTTTCTGAGGTTACCTTCCCCATTAGTATCAGCCTCCAACCCATTAACAACCAGATTTAAATCTTTTCTCTCTAAGTTGCATGTATCAATCAGTCATATATTATATCTTCTTCTAGATCTCATGATATATATGATAACCTCTCTTCTTGAAACTTGTCTTATCCCCTAATTTGTTCAAGGACGGAATCTCTATATTTGTACTTGCATGGTGTTGAGAGTCAAGCATGGCTGTACTCAGGAAAAGTCCTTTTTCGATGGATCTTTTCTTAATAGTTTTCTGGTTCTCAGAACTTGAGAACTGTGAAATGTGATATTTGCTACGATGTTCATGCAGTTAATGACTTTGCTAATACTTTTCAGCTTGGTGTATGTTGTGCTTTGATTTTTAATATGGATTTGGTATGATCTATTCCATGAAGAAAAGACCTACAGAAATGATTGCGTCCTGATAGTTCCTAACACTATAATCTTCCATGATTGTCCGATAAGTGATTGGCTATTTGAATTTTTAGGTTTGGTTCCTTGCCTACACGATCTTTTACATTCAGATGAACAGAGTTGCAGCAGCAGTAAAGAGGAACAAAAATTTTCTGGTATCTGGAGCCTTAATCTTTCAATTTTTTGATTGAAAATCTTCCTTATTCTAATGGTTCATCACTCTGCAAAATAGAAGTTGAGGTATAGCGAAGGCATAAACAAACTCAATATCCACTATGAGTGATTTATTTGTAACAAAACTCTTTTCTCAAGTTATGCACTAATTTTAGTTTAGGGATATGATCTAATAAGAGGATCTGTTTTCTATTTTTTCTACTGTTGTCTTCTGTATTTCCTATTTAGGTTTATAAAGACCTTCATAAAAATTATTGCATTCTGGTTGTTCCCAACATTATAATCTTCCATGATGATCTGTTGTTTGATTAAACTTATTGCATTTTAGGATCGCCTCCTTGTCCAGATGATCTCTTACATTCAAACAAACAAAGTGACAGCAGTGGAAGAGATCGACACAAATCTTCTGGTATCTGGAGCTTTAATCATTCAACTTTTTATTTGAAAATCGTTGTTATTCCAATAGCTTGCCACTCTGCAGAATAGAAGTTGAAATATATTGCAAAGGCTTAAACAAACTCGAAGTTCTCTTACTATATAATTTATCTCTTGCAAAATTCAGCTCTCAAGGTTCTGCAATATATTGACCTTTCATGCAGGGATATGATCCATTAAGAGGACTCATTTTCTGATTTTTGTACTATTATCTTTTTATTTCACACTTAGGTTCATAAAGACCTGCACAAAATGATTGCATTCTCATCATTCCCAATGTTATAATCTTTCTCGATGATCTGATATTTGATTAAATGTACTGCATTTTCTTTAGGATCAGCTTCTTGGCTTGATAATCTTTTAAATTCAGATGAACAAAGTTGCAGCAGCAAAAAAGATCAACGGAAACATTCTGGTATCTTGAGTTTTAATCTTTAAATTTTTTGTTTGAGTTTATTTGTTATTCCAATAGTTCATCACTTTGCAGAATATAAGTTGAAATTTTCTATGATTTATCTCTTACAAAATTCTGTTCTCACGGTTATGCCAATATATTGATCTTACATGCAGGGATATGTCTATCA